CCCTTATCCTAGCTGAGGCTGGCAGAGCTCAGAATTCTGAGCATTAGTGATCAATCTATCAGCTTCCTTCCTTTCCAGCCTTCTTACACTTTACACCCCTCTACCCACTCTAACCACATATGCAACCAACCACAATCCAGTTACATGGGGCTGCTATTCTTTATACTTGACAGTTCATGTCTTTTTTTTTTTTTTTTTTTTAGGCAATTGGGGTTAAGTGACTTGCCCAGGGTCACACAGCTAGTAAGTGTCAAGTGTTTGGTCTGAGGCCATATTTGAACTCAGGTCCTCCTGACACCAGGGCCAGTGCTCTATCCACTGCGCCACCTAGCTGCCCCCCCAGTTCATGTCTTACTGTGGGCCTTTGCACAGGGCGTCCTCTCGTGCCTGGAGTACTCTCCCTCCTCACTTTAAGCTCTTGTATGAGGTCTCCCACCTCTTTGCTCTGAGATTACTTTCCATTTACACTGTATCTATCTACAAAAACCTAGACATTTGCATGTTGGTTCCCCCATTAGAAAACAAGGTCCTGGAATGACGGTCCAAGTCCTGAGGCACAGTGCCTTGCACAAAATAAATGCTTAATAAATGTTTATTGACTGACCATAAAGCTTCAGGGAGTAAATAGGTGGTATCTATGTTGGGCTTTCAAGGAAGGGAGGTATTTCAATAGGCAAGCAAGTCTTTGTGTGGATATGAGACAGTGCACTCGGGGTATTGGGGATCTCTTCAAGAGATTTTCTAAGAAAATGTTTCATTGCTAGTATTCCTCTTGAATCACAGAAGCCTAATAATACATTTCTCTTAGTTCACTAAAATAAACGTTTCCGTTCCAGCAAGTGTTTTGGATATTTGGATGGAACAAAAGAAGTGGACATTTCCTGATTTCCCAGTCTTTGGAGCTTATTTTATTGGATGATTGCAAAGCAGGGTGGGGATCTTCCCAGATCACTTCAATGTCTCTTATGTACAAAGAAATGTTCTGAGGAGATAAAAAATTTACAAAAGATGGGGAGGGTTCTGCCCCTCTTTTTTTTTTTTCCTACATTTTTCCTCTCCGTGATCTCATGAGCTCCCATGGATTCAACCTTCACCTAGATGCAGTTTACTCCCAGATCTACATATTCAACCCTAATCTCTAATTTGGCTATCTCCAATTGCCTGCTGAAGATTCTTTACCTAGATGTCCCATAGGCCCACCAAACCAAACATCTTAAAAACAACTTATTATCCGTCTTCCTAAACTCACCCTTTCCTCTAACACCCCCAGTTCTGCCAAGGGTACCACTATTCTTCCAGTTGCTGGACATCTCGGGCTCTTCAGTCTCACTCACATCCCTCCCAACTCCAACCCTTATCCCCAGTTAGTTGCCAGTTCTGGTTGATTCTCTCTCCACACCATCCCCACCATCCATCCTCTTCTCTCCACTCATATACCACCATCACCTCGGTTCAGTCCTTATTGCCTGTAACCTAGACAACTGTAACAACCTCGTAAGTGATTTCCTTGAATCCAACCTCTTTATTCTCCAATCTCCCTTGTTCACAGCCGCCAAACTGAAATCTTGAAAACACCAGTCTGACCCTGTTACTCCCGATTAAGAAGTTTTAATGGCTCCCTATTGCCCCAAGGATAAAATACACATTCCTTTGTTTGGCTTTTAAAGCCCTTTACAATCCGGCTCCAGCCAATCTTTCCAGGCTGGTTACACATTACTCCCCCTCAAATTCTCTATGTTCCAGCTCAACTGCTCTGCTTGTTCTACACAAACTACATTCCATTTCCTGTGTCTCTGCCTTTGCATGGAATATCCTCTCATGCCTGGAACGTTCTCTCTCTTTACCTCCACCTCTCAGAATCCTTACGTGCTTGAAAGATTCAGTTCAAGGACTGCCTTCTATAAGGAAGAGGCCTTTCCTGATTCCTCAAGTTAACAACCCATTAGTTGGTATTTATTTTATATAAATTATTTTATATAAATCTTGTAATTACTTATCAACATACACATTGTACTGCCCCTCTTCCACCACCAGTAGAGTGCAATCTCCTTGAGGACAGGAGCTGCTTTTTTGTTGTATTCCCAGTAATTAGCAAAGTGCTGGAGGAATAGTAGGCACTTAATGCTTTTTTAATTGAATTGAGCATACCTGGGCATCGAGGTGTTGAAATGGATGGACTGCCAGGCCTGAAGTCAGGAAGACCTGAGTTCCAATTTGACCTCAAATACTGATTAGTTGTGTGATCCTGGGAAGGTCACTTAACCCTGTTACCCTCCATTCCTCATCTATGAAATAAGCTGGAGAAGGAAATGGCAAACCACTCTAGTATGTTTGCCAAGAAAACCCCAAATGGGATTATGAAGAGTTATACACACTGAATTAGGTGTCTAGTTTCAAATCCCGCCAGTCAGTGAGTCCCTATGTATTCTATCTCCACAACATCTTTCACGGTCTCCCTTTTCCTCTTTACTTCCATTGCTACTGTGCTGGTCTAAGGCCTCATTGCCACCCGCCAGGACTACTGTTAATAACCTCTTTACAGGTTTTCTCTCCCCTACTCTCTCTCCTTTCCAATCTCCCAGCATAAGTTTTCTTAACCACAGATCTATATCACTGCCCGGCTCAAATATCTCCAGGGTTTCCCTATTGCCTAGTAAAGTTTAAATTCTTGAATGTTTGGCATTCTGGTTCCTCCATAGTCTGGCACTACCCAACTTTTCTAGCTTTATTCCTATGTACTCTATGCTCCAGCCAAACTGGCTGATTCTTTGTCTTCCTGAACGTATCCATCTTGTTTTTCTCTTTCTTTGCTGACACTGTTCCTTCTGCCTGAAATGTCCCTTTGTCTGATGAATTCTTACCTATCCCTTTATTAGAGCAAGTCAAAAGCCAACTTTTCCAAGAAGCTTTCTCCTATCTTCTTTCTCCCAACTGCTATCCTACCCTATCCTACCTTTCTAGACTTATTGTATATCACGTCCTCCTTCCCAAGACCCCATGCACTCTGATCCAAACTGGTTTCTTGCTGCTCCACAGGACATTCCATCTTCTCTTTGCACTGGGTGTTCCTCCTGCTCTGGTTCTCTTTAACCGTAGAATTTCAAGCCTTGGTTCCAGCTCAGTTCAAGATTGACCTCCTGCTTGAGGCTTTCCTGATTCTCCCAGCTGCGGGTGCCTTCCCGCCCCCCCATTTCCTTGTATTTTATGTTTTGTATCTATTTATATGGGTAAATATTGATTCCTCTGATTTGTTTTCCTCCCCACCTCCTAGCACAATAATACATTGACACTTAGTAGATGTTTATAGATATTTGTTGATTGATTTTCTATTGTTAGGCTCTGGGGGAGATTCACCATATAATATGGGATATGACAAACAGATAAGTACATTAGGGATGTGCACAACTATGCTATGTGACATTGGAGGTTAAGGTCATTGCTGACAGATTTCAGGGGAGGCTTCCTGGAGGAGGTGGCATTTGATTTGGTAGTCTTCACAGTCACGGACATAAACCAAGATTCAGGTTGACCTGTCTGGGGTTTGAAGCAGGCTGGTAGGTATGGTGAGCACGTGCCCAGGCCCACTCCTGGGTGTACCCAGGGGTCCCAGAGGGCACGTGCAGAGCGGGGCGTGTCGGAGGTGTAGCCAAATCCGAGACAGGGCGTGTCCTCGATACATGTGCAGAAAGGGGCGTGCCTCGGGCGGGTAGGGCTGGGGAGGGGGAGGAGCTCAGATTGACGGGGCGGGACCTTCCAGGGACAGAGTGGGTGTGCCGGGCCAATGAGCGCGGGGCGGTGGGCGGGGCCTGTAGGGAGGGTTCGGGCCGGCTGCGGGCTGAGAAATGCAGGCAGAAGCGTCGGGGTTCCGCGGAGGGATCGTGCGGGCGCCGCCGCTGGTACCGCTCGGCCTCGGGGATTGGCTGCGGTGCTCGCGTGTCACCCGGGGTTGCTAGGCTCCGTGCCGCCCCGCCCCCGCCTTTCCCCGGTACGTGCTCGCGCGGAGGCTGCGGCGCGGCTCTCGCGCTTCTCGGGCTCGGCCTGCGCGCGCGGCGGCGGCGGCATAAGCGCCGGGGCCCCGGGGAGCGGCAGCGTCCTGCGGCCCGGCGTCCTGGCGGAGCTGGGAGTGTCGGCACCTGCCGCTGCCCGGCGGCGCTCGGGGGTGAGTCACGCCCTCCCCCTACGGTCGCCTAGCGGCTCCCGGGCCCCGGGCCCGCCCGGCCCGCGCCCCTCCCCCTCCCCGGCGGCCCCGGCCCCCTCTTTTCTCCTCCCCGCCTAACACCTGCTGCTGCGCCCGCTCGGGGCCCTGGGTCCGGGTGCGAGCGAGGCCTGCGCCCGTCAGCCCGGGCCCGCCCGTGTCCTTACTTTATACTGGCAGGCGGGCAGGCGGGCAGGCGGGCAGGCGGGCCCGGGCCGGCGGCTGCGGGGGGAGGTGGTTCTTGGGCGGCGTTGCCTTTACCTCACGCCGCCTGCATCCCCTCCCGGCCTGGGGGAGGGAGGCGGCGGCGGCAGCGGGTGTGGGCGTGCAGGGCAGAGGGGACTGCCGAGGGGGGCCAGGGCCTGGCGGCTGCTGAGAGCGCTTTTTGTTGCCGGGCCCGGGGCTGGCACGGAGGCGGCGGCGGAGCAGGCCGCGGGGCCGAGGTCGGCCCGGGTGCGGAGCCGGGGCCTTTCCCGCCCGGGAGCTGCCGGGGCCTCTGGACGGGCTGGACGCCGCCGTCGGCCCCGAAGGGAGGGGGAGCGCCGGGCCTGCTTGGTTGGCCCCCCAGCCCTATTCGGGGGGCGAGTTTGCAGCTGGGTGAGGGAAGGGGAAGCGGGGAAAAACCTGCGTGTGGTTTTTGTGTATGCACAGCTGTCTGTGAGAAGCTGCTCCAGGAGCAGGCAGGTTGAGCCGCTCGTTAAGCCCTTCCTTTGGGGAGGAGGTAGGGGCCCCCGCGGCCCCCACCCGTGTTAGAGGTTCCTTTTGGAGCTCCAGTACCTGTTCATCCTTTCACAGGAGTTTGAGAGAGCAGCTTCAAAGTTGGGTGTATCTGGGAGGCTTCCCCAGAGGACAGGCTGCTTTGCTTGTCCGGGAAGCCTCCCCCTAAGTCATAACGACTCAGCTTCAAATTAATGGCAAAGCTGGTGATTTAAAAAGAATGGGTCTAATATGTACATTTTGACAGGTAGGTAACTTCTACATTCTTAAAGGTTTAGTGTGGATTTTAAGGCTGAAGAGAAGTTCCTTGCCTTTTGTCAGTTTCAGAATTAAGCAGACTTTTTATTACTGCCATTTTATTTTCTGAAAGTCTCCCAATATGGAGAAGTTTTGGATGTTTGGATGTTTTTAAGCTTGAACCTTTTTTTGAAAGAATCTGATTTAGTAATATATCAGGAGTTCTGTCTCAAAAGCACAGCCTGCTCTTGCACTTTTCTCTGAACAAGTGAGTAGAAATGATTACTGGCAAAGGTCCTAGTCGTTTGCCGTTATTTCTCTCTCTCTTTCCCTATCAGTCTCTCTCTTCTTTCTCACTCTCCCCATTTTCACTCTCTCCCTTCTTTCCTTCTCCTTCGCTCTTCTCTTTCTCCTTTCTGTTTCTGAGACAAAATGGTGCATACAGCCAAGTAACATATTTTTCCAGGTGTGTTTTGGGTGTCTGGGATAGGTATATTATGATTTTATTAGTACCCTAAGATCTTTCAGAGTAGTATTGTTTTTGAAAGGACAGATATTTTGACCTGTTAAAAGTGTATTATTAGATATTTGGAGAACTTGAATGGGACCAAGTTAATTTGGTTTAGGAATGAGAAAGTGGACTTCCAATGCAAAATACTCATGATTTGGGGCCAAAGCAAACAAGGGACAGATTTCTTTTCTGCTAGGAAGTCAAAAGGGAGGGAGGTGTTTTCTTAAATGGAAATTGGGGAATATTCCAGGCATGCGGATGAATGTAGGTAAGAGGAGAAAACAATATTTACACAATAAACATTTAATAGGAATTGTGAAACACTCATGTTGGTAGTCTTTCAGTAAAGAAACTTGCAGGTCTACACTATTCTGAAAAAATCAGCAGCTTGTTAACAGTGGAGTTGAAACTTGGCAAAGTGTCTACTATCTCTCCTGACTTCAGAGATAGACGCTACTGTCTGGACTGAGGTCAGTGGCAACATTTAGAATTATTGGGCTGGGAAGGGGGGTGGAGGTGGGAGAAGGGTGCTTTGCCAGATCATCTCAAGTAGTTTCTTCCTATCTGGGATTATTTCTAAATTACCCCAGATAGTGTAGAATACATTCCCAAGAAAAAGAGATTCCATAGCATCCCTTGGCAACTGCTCAGTTGCACTGATAGTGAAGAATCTTGCTCATCTAACCTAAAATCCTTAGCGCATTGGATTCTATCCTGCAGACTTGGACAGTTGCGGACAATCTTCGACAATTTTTTTTGGTCATGGTTTTCAGGTAGTTTGATGATTCTTAAATTATCTCTTCTCAATCTTTTTTCCAGGCGAGTTATTTTTGCTTTGAAGTACCTCACATTTTCCTCTATTTCTCTGACTCGGGACATTTTTCTTAATCTCAGGGTAAATTACTATTTTTATCCCTGTAAAGGCAAAATTAAATACAATGCCTCTGTTTTTTTCCTGTTTGATACTTGTTCACTGAAATTTGGGTTCCAACTTTTGCCCTTAACTTTCAACCAATGATATGGCGTCTTATTAATGTTGAATTCCCTGAAGGGAGTACTAGGGAGACTTTTCTAGTGGTGGAAAAGGGATGTAGAGAAGAAAGTGGGGAGATGTAAAGACGTCCTACCCATCTCTCCAGGCTCGTATTACCCTCTAGTAGAATTCCTTGAGGCCTAGCACTGTTTTTGCATTTACAATGCTTTGTAGTAGTGATTAATTCCCTAGGTGCCAGATGAGTTGTGGGTGGTTGGAAGGTGGGAGGGAGAGGTAGAATTTGGGATCATTTTAAGTTTATAGGTCCCCTACCAGTAATAGGGCAGGATTTTACTCACAGATTTTAAAACTTTATTTTCCCCTTCTCTTCTCACTAACAACCCCACCACTTCTGTGGTATCAGTGTATTGGGGAAATATAATGTGGTTTTTCATCCCCTAAAGGTAGGGGACACTTCCTTTAATGAACTGGCTTCTGGCATGAACCTTCATATTTCCTCCAGAACCAAAATTTGTAGGTAAAATTTGGGTGCCAGCCATGTACTAGGTGCTGTAGGATACAAAGTATTACATTACATTGCTCCTTCCCTCAAGTAGTTTGTTTTCTAGTTGGGGAGAGAGAATGGTAACATAAAGTGCATAAATTGTTTAGAATGATCCCCTTTGGCGCCTATGACCAGGAAGGAGCCTGAACTGGATTTTCATTGGGTAAAATTTAGAAAACTGGAAGGGAGGGAGCATGGCATTCCAGGAGAGAACTTGAACAAAGGTGAAGAGGTGGGATATGCATGGTATGTCTAGGGAACCAGTTTGACTGGAGTGGAGGGTTTCTGTAGGGAAGTAGTAGCAGATAAGTTTGGAGATGCAGCTTGGAGTTTTGGAGACAACTTTTAGACCCATGTTATATTTTTTTACTTCAGGTCCCCTCATTTTGTTTAATTTCTAAACTCAATACTGTTCAGGTAACAGCACTTTCACAATACGGTATTTTATAATTGTTCATTCTATAATGCCTAGAACTCTGAAGTTAGCCATAATAGCTAGGATTCATTATGTGGTTTTCAGTTTTGGTTACTCTTGGGGTCATATTGGCAGCTTCAGCCTTTATAATAAGATCCATAAAGTCAATCAAACTTTTTAAGCTTCTGGGAGATTATAATTGAATGAAGTATGGAAACAAGCTCACAAAGTATTGAATTTGTGAAGCTAGATTTCTTTCCCCAGTTACTTATTGAATGAAATTTATGTGTCTTAATCCCTGCTAGATGCCTGAATGTTAAATACAAATTAATTTTCAAGATTATGATTTTGCCCGAGTATATTAGTCCTGCCTGGGAAGACGTTAAGTTGGTAAGAGTGTATGACTGCCTTTCTGAGGGAGTGGCAACAAAGACAGGTGTTGAGGTTTTGTTTTGAAGTTGCACCATTCTGAACTAGTAATTAAAAAAAATTCTAGTATGTTGAATATTTACATTTTGAATTACTTTTGTATCTTTGAAGTTTTTCACCCTAATTTTTGGTCTTGGTTTATCTGTCAAGTCTTCAGTATAAAACATTTCTTCTTTCTCAAGTGAACTTTGATAAAATTTGGTGGAATAGTTTGACTCACTTGTGTGGGTAGGAGATTAAGTGGCATTCTTTATGTCTTTCTGGAAGCATAGAAGAGTTCTAGCCTTGCAGTAGGCATTCACCATTATCTTTCTTTACTCTTCCCAGTGGGTTTTAATTCCCATTTTAGCTAAGTGTTTTTGAATTAGGATTGTATTGAAAAATGCATGGAGTACCTCCCAGTATACTTTTTTTAAATTTCTCTGCTTTGTGTAGAGTACAAGTACACTCTTATTTAAGGAGTTTGGAATTATGAAAATTGATTTACAAAAAATTAAATTGGGGCATATATGTTTATTCACTTCATAAAGGCATTTAACATGAGATTTCTTTATCAAACTTCTCCAGTGTATCTACAATTGCAAATGTGATTTGTATTACACAGGTTTTCAAGGAAAAGTGACATCTATTAAAAGGCTGACATCTGTTATAAAATGAGGCAGATCTGTATCATTTTTTAAACAAGATTCCTTCCATAAGCATCCCAATTTTTCCCTCTTTTAGGGGTGCTTAGATTTTTTATGTTTTAAGTACAATTCAATGTCCCTTGCCATTCTGTGCATATGAAACCACTGATTCATTTTTGTTGCTGCTAGTCATTGCACTATTGCATCCTAAATATAGGGTAGTGTGCCAGTTGGGAAACAGCCCAGTAGTAAGTGGAAGCATTTGGAATGCTGCATATTATTCAGAGAAATAATCAGCCAATGCTTAGCTTGTGTTGGTAATTGTACTTGGTACAATGTATTGGAATTTGCCCTTAGATTCCTGTAGGTGTCAGAATTTCTTCCTGCGTACGGTATGAAAGACTTTAAGAGAGCAGTTATCTGTTTGAAAATTGCCTCCTTCTAATAATTGGTGTAAAAATGTTTATTAGAAATCTCAGTAATAGTTTAAAGTTTGAGAAAGCTGTTCTTAAACGTTTTATTTCTGCAAGGGGTCTGATTCATCTAATTTGGCCATACAATATGCAGAACTGATTTTTCTACCAATGTAAGGATAGTTATATTTAATTCTCTATAGACATTTGCTTGCATTTTTGAAACTACTTCTCAGCCTAGTAGAAAGCATGCCATTTTCTACCTTGTTTGGTGTTTTTAATTGGTTCAGTTATTCTTAAAATATATCGAGTATTAATAGATTTTCTTTCAGAATATTTTACAAGAACCCAATTCACTCCTTGATTGAATATAACATAGGGTATAATTTCTGAAAACAGTTAAGCAAAACATTTTAAGAGTTATTGCGACGTGTGTAGCTTTAAATTTAAATAGTTTTGTTAAGAGAAAGAACTAGAAGCAAGGAGGCCCATTTTTACTACTGTTATTCAATAAAATATTAAAAATGCTAATGATAACGGTATCAGTGAGATAAAAATTAAGGGACTATGCATTATCAGAAAGAAGGCAAAGTTATCTTTCCATCTATGATATAATGGCATAGTTGGAAAACCCTAGAGAATCAACAAAAATTAAAATAATTGGCTTTGGCAAAGTAGTAAGATGCAAAACAAGTCCCAGATCATCAGCATTTCTATATGTTAATAACAAAAACCAGGAAGGGGGAGAGACCTTTCTTTTTAAAGTAACTATCTTGGAGTTAACCTACCAAGACACACACTGGTCTTGTATAAGTCAATTACATAATAATGAGAAATAAAGGAAGACCTAAATAAGGGGAGACAGAGTCAACGTTCATTGATAGGCCATGCTGATACAATAAAAAATAACATTACTACTCACTTTAACATTTTAATTCTACATCAATCAGATTATCTAAGGGATACTTTATAGAATTAGGAGAAATAATAAAATTCGTGTGGAATAAGAAAATATCAATGCTATGTGGGGAAATAAGTGTATGAAGTAGAAATGAAGAGGATTTGATATGACCAGATT